TTTTTTTTTTTTTTTAAATCAACTGAAAAGAATTTAATGTATGAATCCAGAGAAGCCAAAGGATTTAATTCAGCTATGCTAACAGAATGTGGCTTCTCCGAGTTTTATATGCAGTATGATAAAGGACATAATTTAATCCCTAAAACATATTTCCATGAAATAGCATTATTTTCCTCATACAACTTTTTGTCTTAAAATAAATGCCACATACTCCCTTCCACTGATGCCATACACACTCATAAGTACGTTATCCAAAAGTCCCCAGATGTTTTAAGTAACAACTTGTGAGGTCACTGAAATTTTATTTTCATTGTTATCAAAAGCCCCGTGAATTCTTTTTTCTCCAAAACCTCTGTTCTGGAAGGTAGGGATGGGGAGTCCTTGTGTATGAGATCTTGACCCACAGGACAGTGGGCCCTAGAAAAATAAATGACTTTTGCTTTCAGAAGCTATTTTCAGAAGCTAACATACAGACATGGATTCTTGTTAGCAGTCCATGTGGACTAACTGAAAAGTAAAGAATCAGGGAACCTCGACTCAACAAATTATCTGGGAGCCTACACCTTGCCAGCATGTTACAGAAAGGACGACTCCTGTCATCCCAGAGTTGACAGTCTTAGAGGAGAGCTCGAGGCACTGTTCAAATATAAAAGAAGGGCATCTTACCCCGACTGGATGAGTGGAGAGTATGAGGAGTCAGAAAAGGCCTCCTGGAGGCAGGAACATCACCTGAAGGATGAGGAAGCATCAATAAATACAACGGACAAATACCAGGGGGTGGTGTCGGGCAGCAGAGACCAGTTGGAGGGTCAGACCTGAGTCCCAAACTTGCTCCTGCAACAACTGGGATACGACCATGTTTTTCTCACCTGTGATATGCGATGGTTAGATTATGTCAGCTTGCCTTAACCCTTGCTGTGCATCGGAATCATCTGGGGGCTTTCTAGCAATACTGGCTCCCTCCTCTAGAAATGTGGTTTCAACTGGGGGGCATCTGTGTTTCTTTCAACAGCTTTCCAGGTGATGCTACTCTGCAGCCAGGGCTGGGAACCCCTGGATGAGAGGTCTCTCATGTCTGTGGTTCTCAGCATCTAGAGCACAATAACATCCACTGGGGAGCTTTTGAAGAATCCCAAGGCAGGCTGCATGCCAAACAGTTAACCCAGAATCTCTGCGGGTGGGACCCAGGCATCTGTAGTTTTTAAAGTTCCCAGGCTGATTCCAAGGTGCAGCCAAGGTTGACAGAACCACTGCTCTAGGTCCCTTTAATACTTCCATTTCCTATTACAGCCACTGAAGGATGGGGAAAAAAAGGAAAGAGAAACTTTTAAGTCTCTCCCTCTCTTTTATTTCAAATTAAAAAGAGAACTGAATGTCAAAGACCACTGATGGATTTTAAATGGCGTTGTAGTGGGGTGCCTCAATGGCTCAGTCGGTTAAGCATCTGACTTCAGCTCAGGTCATGATCTCAGTTTGTGGGTTCGAGCCCCATGTCGGGCTCTGTGCTGACAGCTCAGAGCCTGGAACCTGCTTCAGATTCTATGTTTCCCTCTCTCTCTGCTCCTCCCCTGCTCATTCATTCATTCATTCTCTCTCTCTCTTTCTCTCTCCCAAAGATAAATAAACGTTGAAAAAAAAATTTTAATAAGGTTGTAGCACACAGTAGAGTTGATTTTGGACCTGTACACAATTCATGCCGATGCAGGACAGGTAGAAAATGCCCATTCCAAAATGCTCTCAGTTCTAAATTTAAAATTCAGTGGAATACATATAAAATGACTCCACGGCGTGTTCTCTGCAATACTGAGTTAGAGTTTGATTTGCATGGCTGACTAGAATATGAACACTACATTCCCTACCCCCAAGGTTACTTAAATCCACTTATTAGGGCAATGGTGAACTAAACAAACAGTAATTAGAAACACTCCAGACTACCTTTTAACTCTGTTGCTAAATTATATTTTTCTTGCACCGAAGCCCATACACACAGCATGTCCACAAGCATCACACAAAACCAAAACCTCAGAAATATTTACATTAATAAGAGCATAAGCTCCTGTGGGTCTTCACATTGGATTCTGCCGGGAAGTAAGGCCTGCTTTGGAAGAGGGCTGTTCATTACTGTTATTTCTCACATCTGGGTAAATAAAGCACTGCCCACATGTGGTTAGAAATCCCAGGAGAAAATGAATTCTCCATGGGTCTGAAAATGAAGAACACCTCTGATAGACTGCCTCATTTCCTGAAATGAGTCAGAAATGAAAGTAATTCTTCAGCAAAGAACATCTGCACCGTGGCACAGCTTACAAAATAATGCCAGATGATACCCGTGGCTGAGAGGCCGGGCCTGAGGACGGAGGGAGGGCCTGGAGAACAGGACGGGTGGCCTCTGCACTGCACTTGTCTCAGAGTCGCCGCTGCTAGCTTAGAGGGTCTGCAAATCCAATGAGCGGCCGGGCATCTCAGTCTCAGCTGTAAATCTTGATTAGCAGTAAGACTGCTTACATTCCATTAGAAAGCTGGCCCCTCTCCAAAGGGTAGAAGCAGCCAGAAAGGATTCATGTGCCATCGTGGGCACGGAAACAGCAATTCTTACAAGAAAAACTGTTCTACTTAACTAAAAATAGTTTCTGCCTGTTCATGATTCAGATAGACCTTTCTTCCGTAGGAGGAAGGACAGCGGCGTGATATGACCTAATGCTGCCAGGGGAAGCCCCTCCTTCCACATTATTCAGGAAGGACGTTGTGGCATATGGTCAGGGGCTGGAGGGTAAGAAAGACTGAAATACCTTTCACAGCAACTAATAAGGGCCAAAAAACAGGAAGGTGAAAAAAAAGGCTGCCTTTACCCAAACCGAATGCCAGTTGTTTTTATTAGGTAGCTCATCCCTCTTCTCTCCGTGATGTGTATTTAAAAGGAATCCAAATCCATTATTTGTAATGGAGGCAAGGGTTGGGGAAGGTACCTAGAAACAAATGCCCATTAAATGGTCACTAGTTACATTAAAATACAGGACATATACAATGGAATACAATGTAGTCATACAGAGGGTGTGTAGATACCGAGAGATCTGTGTTTTGTGTGATACATTAAGTTCAGAGAAAAAATGTACCTGGACTCCGCATAGTAAACATTTGTGTAAATATATTTAAAGAGGTTGCCTTAGTGTGGAAGGAAGGGACTAGGAGAGCATCCAATTTCCTTTTATAACCTTGAATACAGTTTGAATTATCTTTTCATGTTCTTACCCTCCCTCTTTAACAATAGGCACTAACTAGGTAGAAGGCTATTTTTGGTTTCTTCTTTTTACTAGTCTCTATATAAAATAAATGAAGGTTATTTTAAATAGATGTTATGTGCTAAATTGTGTCTCCTCAAAATCCTCAAAATGCTGAAGCCTTAACTCCCCATACACAGAATATAACTGTATGCACCTTAAAGAGGTGATGAAGTTAAAATGAGGCCATTTGAGTGATCCCTGATCCAAGCTGACTGGCTTTAAAGAGAAGATCCAGACAGAAAGACCCCACACGCAAAGATATGCACACATAGAGAAAAGACCATATGAGGACACAGCGAGAAGGTGGCAGCTGCAAGCCAAGGAGAGAAGCCTCAGAAGAAAACAAATGTGCCAACAGTTTGACCTTGGACTTCCACCCTCCAGAACTATGAGAAAATAAATTTATCTATAAACCAACAGATGAATGAAGTTCAACTAACACAACATGGGGAGAGGCACCCATAAAAGTATTTAATGTGTCAAAAACCCACAATGTCTGCTATGATGCATCCTTTGGCATGCATCATAGCGGACAAAGAAATCGGGGCCACATTTGGTACGCAAAGACATCGGGGCTCACTGTGCCTCTGACATCAGAGTCACCCCCCTTTAAGTGGCTTGTGTCAGGAATAGAACAGGTTTCCAAACTCCCTAGTCAGGACTCCATTTGCTCATTCACTTACCATTTATGGTATTTTTAACAAGTCCCATAACTTGAAGGACTAGCACTCAAGAGATTTATTAGCGTCTTTTAAAGGCCTGGTTCATGTTCAAAAGGCTTTCTTCCTGTGCTGATAACTAGTGAAAAGGAAGGTATCACAGTAATATTATTAATTCAATTAAAAAAATTAAAAAACAAAACAAAACCTTGGTGCCAGTTTTTTTTTTAAACATCCAGAAAAACAAATGACATGCCACTTTTGTGTGCCAACCTAATTTTTTATACTTTAACACATGTGGTCTCAGACCATCATGCAATATATTAAAAATATGGTGGCCCAATGCTGAAATTTCTTTATGACATTTTATAGATTTTTTACAAATTAATCTTTTCTTTAAAAATATAATTTAAAAATCAAAGATATATTAAAATCACAGACTTTGCCTATAGAGTCTATAACCGAGAAGTGGGCTAAGATCCAGGCACATGAAAATAAGATTAAAACTTGAAGATAAATATTTGGTACAGTCAGTTCAGGCTTCATTCAGAGAAAGGTGGAATCAACTTTTGCCTTGAATGGTACGGGAAACTTTCACCAAGGGCAAATGCTGTAAGCCAATCTGGGATTAGATACATAAAAGTTAAGGAGAAGTGATGTATGTGCACATCTATCTTGCTACTAGTCTAAAGTTTTGAAGGTAAGAACTTTACCTACGATCCTAATGGAGTGTCTGGCAAATAATAGCCATTTGCAGGAGAAACAGCTGGGGAAGTACACCTTTGTGTAAGAATCTAGTGCAGATTCTTGTAAGGAGGTTGTGGGGTATAAAGTCAAAGAAGTTGGGGTCAACCTGTACACATGCTGAAATCTGGGCTTTATCCCTATGCAGTGTGGACTCTTAGAAGGTGTGTCTGGAGGAGAATGTTATAAAGAACACAGATGGGACCAGCAGTGATGTGCAGAAGGGAACAGAGGTGGTAGGGGAATGACAAGGATCGATCAGTCAAGAGGTGTCAGGGGGTTAATCAGGTGACCTCTTGGGGAGTCTCAGCCTCCCAATGTGTGAAATGGGCATCATACTACCTATCTTCATAGGACTGTTATGAATGCTAACAGGACATAACACATGGCTTGATAGTAAGCATTTAAGGAAATATCATTGCTATTACATTTATCTCTCTACACTGAAAGATATGGAAGAAAATGAGAGAGAGAACAAGTGTAAGGTATTCATCTAGGGTGCGTCTACTTAGGCTCTCCTCAAGTGCCTTAAACAGTGATAATGGCTGTCATCTTTTTTGGAAGTGGAGTGTGCTATAATTATTCCCTAGTTCTCCAGAACTTAACAACATCGATCCAGTAGACCCAGGAGGAACAGATGTCTGGAATGGTCTTTAAAGTCAAGACACTCGAAAATGAATTTTTAAGTTGTTTTTATATAAAAGTAACTAACAGGCTAATGCCAATCAGTTTTGAAACACCAAATTAATGGACTCAGCTATAAGTCCAGGAAAACCATTTTCATAATGAAAATGCCAATGCCTTTTTAATTAAGGATGGAACTGCCAACATAAAAGACTTAAGATAAATGAGAAATCATTCCTTTCTCTCAAAAATGAAAGATCCTGATAACTCTGAATTATTTTGAGCTATGGATTACGAGAAATTGTTTAGGATCTAAGCTACAGGATTTTCCAACTACATAATAATCACTTCATACTGGGGCTGACAGCCTCAGCCCAAATTTGGTGCTCTGGCTTTTCAAGTTCTTTTTTTTAATTATTGTCAGGGGGCCGGCCTCTGGTCCTATATTTAGAGTCATTAGATATGAAGCTCTACTGAAGATAATGGCACTTTGTCAAACACAAAGCAATGTTAACTTTTTTGTAAGTTTGACCTTACAAGATTTACTATACATAAAAAAGTATACGCACATGTATATAACGATGTGTATTTGTGGTAAAGCTTTACCAACTTAATTGTTATCTATCGGTCATCATAAAATAAATACATCAGAGATCTGTGTACTATTTTGATTCTCAATATTAATGATCTATTTAAAAACTATTTACTCTTTGGCCCCAGACCAGGTTTCCATATTTACTACATCACCGGAAGTTGTACTACTTAACATTAATAAAAAAAAACAAAACCCTACAAAATTACTCAAAAGGGCTAACACAAAGGGAGCAAAATAAAACATCACTGGGTACTTTTGCCAGAGCCAACAGGGACTTTCCAATAAACACCTAGGCCAAGATGAAGACGGCAGTTGGCAAACAAATTAGTAGGCTAAGACCAACACAGAAAAAGGCATGCAAACACTTCAGCAGAACGTGATGACTATTGATAGACATCAACCAACACATATATGTATGCAACACTGAAGATGAACAGCATCTTGGAAGAAAATGGCAGAAAGCCAAATCAGGAATTTAAAAGAAAGAGGAGAAGAACTCCAAGGACAAGAACAAAGGCTAAGATAACATGGGGCAGGTTATGGAGTAAACCACAAGAGAACTCAAGAGAGATTTCTCTATCTACCCAACTGGTTTCCTTCAGAATGTCTCTTAAGTTTTCAAAACCTCAGAAGCTTCATCTATGGTCTGAACAGGGAAGATTATATACTATCCAAAAGTCTCTTCCAACTGATAATAGACCAAAAATTTCTGTTTAGATGATAAACAGATACTTTGTTTTTTTATAGGCTTTTTACTTCACAATGAGCTTCAAGTCTGCAAGTCTTAATTTCACAGAAGGAAGCCAAACTCTGTCAGCACACACATAGAGCACAGCCCTAAAGCAGGAGTCAGACCAAGGCCTTTGATGGGAGTCAACCAGCTGGACAGTTCAAATGTCATCTGTGACACTAAATGTCAACCTCAGCCATATTCCCTTTGCCCCTGTCCTTAGCTCTTCCCAGTTGGATACACTCAGTTCTCAGCCCCAACTCTTCACATAATCCTACAAGTCAGACATACATTTATTTAAAAAGGTCAGTAGAGCTCACAAGATGGAACAGGCCAGGGAAATGCTTGGTGGCAGCTCCCAACCTTTAGAATGGTGAAGTTTGGGTTAACCATAACCAGTGCTCCAAAAGAATACCTCTTACTTTGCTGTTGTAGTAAGTAGTTCAGTAATTCCACTTTTCAAAACGTTCATAAAATAGTCTGAATGTGAACAAATATTTACACCTACAAATATCTCACAATATTACTTCTAACAGCTAAAAAAAATCTGCTACACACTAGATCTACAATAATCAAGGAAAGATTGTGTAAATTATACCTAAGTTAGGGGCTCTCTTCCCATTTGCACCCCCGGCCCCCACGCTCACCCTGTGCAGGACTCCAACTGCCCACTTCTGGCTACTTCCTTCACCAGGCTTAAGGTCCAAGAAGAAGGCAAAAACCACATTTGCTTCACTACCTTAGCCATAAAGTCTACATCATAGTGAGCACAAAAATCAGCATCTGTGAGGGGCGCCTGGGTGGCGCAGTCGGTTAAGCGTCCGACTTCAGCCAGGTCACGATCTCGCGGTCCGTGAGTTCGAGCCCCGCGTCGGGCTCTGGGCTGATGGCTCAGAGCCTGGAGCCTGTTTCCGATTCTGTGTCTCCCTCTCTCTCTGCCCCTCCCCCGTTCATGCTCTGTCTCTCTCTGTCGCAAAAATAAATAAATGTTGAAAAAAAAAATTAAAAAAAAAATCAGCATCTGTGGAAAGTTTGGTAGTAAATGCTTTCAAGTAAGTTATCTATGGCTGGATATTATGCAGTTTTAAGTGTGGTTTGTGAAGCATTTTTAAATATAGAGAATACCAAGGATAAAAAAAAAGCTGTGGAGATGCAAAGCAAGGATGGTTACACAGAACAGTGACTATCTAATATTCCTGAATTACACATTCGAAGATGGATAAAATGGCCAATATCACGTTATGTGTATTTTACCATGATGAAAAATAAAATAATTAGGGAATGCTTATGAGGCAAGTTAAATGAAAAGGTGGGGTACCCTAGGTCTAAACGACATGAAATTACATCTGTGTTTCTAAAAGGCTAGAAAGTAGCATACTCAGGTACTCATGTTTGGTTTATCCTAGGGTGGTTGCACTAGGGGGGTGGATTTTTGCTTTATTTAAAATTTTCCGTGTTTTCCAAAATATCCACAAATGCCCATGTATAATGCATACAATCAGAAAAAGATATGGACAGCAAGCGTCAGGGATAGGAAGGTTTGCTCACCAGCAAACTCAACGTACATGGGAATCATTCACCTTGCTAAGATCTTTGATGTACTTACATACCACATACCACCTCTGCTTGCCTTCACGGTGGAGATCATCCACAGGCATGCCAGTGGAGGCAAAATTTGATATTTATGAGATTAGATTTATTGATATTTATTAGATTTATTTGATATTTATTAGATTTATTTATTTGATATTTATTTATTAGATTTATTTTTCTTCTTTTTCTTTTTGCTATGCCAGAAAACATGCACTACAGATTTGCTACTCCATAAGTATCCTTTGCCTAGGCTGAGAAATGGCAATAGACGCTTGTTTTGGACATGTAAATGCCAAACTGGAACAAACACACAGTTATACTCAGAGGCGAAGGTTTTCAGGACCTGGGACAGGCCAGGTCTCTCCTCATGGAGAATGAGGCATCCAGACAGCCTCAGGAAAACTAGACTCATTGTATCTCACAGACAAGTTAGAAGCAAGGCCTTTGGAGTCACACAGACTTAGGACTGAAGTACCATATAACATAGACTGAGGATTGCCACCTCTGATTGTCACCTTGCATGCTCCTGGCTTCAGATTCCCCATAAATAAATGGGGATGGTAATACCTACCCCTCAGGCATTAAAATGGTACGATGTCTGTAAATCAGAGATGTTGGAAAACCC